ATGCTCGAGTCCCCTGCATACAAACGACCCTAAATTAATTTGCAGAGGCTGAAGGGTTGCAGTTTCTGCCTCGCGGTATCCCCTTTAGAGTTTTGCAAAGTGAATTTAACAATCAGCCAAACAGTTTATTAGCTCTAAATATTGTTGAAAATAAGTTTTTCGTGCTGAATGGCTTATAATTATAAGGTGGGTTGGGGGAGTTTAATTGACTGTAAAGAAACAAACATACAGTGCATGATGAACGCTGCTTATAATGAATTCACAATTTTCATTTTCTGAAATTATATATCATGAAATTAATGGATATAACAAATTTTAATGTTGAAATATTAGTCCCTAGCAGTTTGCTATGATAAGTTTATTTTACTATAGTATTAGTGGGCTTTAAAACAAATATACACATGCACAAATTATACCAAAACCAATGAAAAACAAAAACTGCTACAAGCAAACGAGAGGTATTTGTGAAAAGACTGATGCCACTGGTTGGCAGCTAAATCATGGACAAAATTAAAGTTTTTAAAATCTTGCCATAGCATTGTAACTTTTTAGAAGTTATAGTCAAGTTAAAAATTTTCAAAGTAAGTCAAACTCCAAGGTCTTAATTGAGGTCAAAAAATATATATGTTGATACCCAAAGAAAGGTCTTGTCAAAAGGAATATACATGTGAAATGTGAAAGCTATCAGATGGTGCCTGCAGCTGGCTTCAACTTTTCAAAAATTTTGGCCAAGGTTAATTTTTTTGAAAAGTAGGTCAAATGTCAAGGTCGAGAGATAAAAAAAAATCTTGGTATCCAAAGAAAGGTCTTGTTACAAATGAAATATGAAAACCCAGGCCTGGCTTCAACTGTTTGAAAGTATGGCCAAGCTTGATTTTTCAAAAGTTAAGATCAAACTCAAAGGTCAAGAGGTAAAAAAGAAATGTTAGTACATGTACTTAAGAACGGTCCTTGTTGTCACATAGAATTATAAACATGTGAAATACAGAAGTCCTAGCACTATCCATTCAGAAGTTATGGCCAAGGTTAGAGTTCTTCAAATCTCATGATGTCAAAAATGTTGGTACCCAAAGAAAGGTATTTTCACAATTAGGATTACACAAAATGTTATGTGAAATTATGAAAACCATTACACCAACTGTACAAAAGTTACGGTTAAAGTTAAAATTTGGTTGAAGTTTTTAAAAGGTAGGTCATACTCCAAGATCAAGAGGTCAAATATGTTGGTACCCAAAGAAAGGTGTTGTCACAAGGAATACATCTAAGCATGCACTAAAAAGTTATGGCCAAAGTTAAAGTTTAATTAGCAGACAAACAGATAGATAGATGGACAGATCAAAAACTTATGCCTTTGGATCTTTGAATAAAGGGGGGGGGGATAATAATATTTCTAAGAAGTATTAAGGTTAAGGAATATCTAAATATTCCAAATTAAATATTACCCATTAATTAGTTGAAATATTTGATGAAATTGCATGATCATGTTGCAGTCTGCCATCTGGATTTAATTGTAACTTATAATTCTTTCAACATGTTCAAGAAAAATTGATTTTTCTAGAATGCATACAAGTCGTAAATTAAAAGTGGGAGTTTTTTTTAAGTCTTACGTAGTTGGAAGGATTTAATTGTTTTGTAGATAAGCCCCCATATATTCTGACCTGCTAAAAGACATTTAATTTCCTAAGTAATGTAAGATTCCTTTAGAGTAAGCAAATCTCATAAGGAAAAAACATGCTAAAATCATGAAAATAATAAAACTAATTTTTATTATACATGATGGAATAGTTCTGGAGAATAGTGTCTTTGATGTTTGCAATAAATGTAGTAGAATGCTTATAACAGTAGAACTTATTGGTATATTGATCTGGGTAAATGTACTGGGAATGAGTTGTAATCCAATCCACCTTTTCGTTATATGTATTTTTACCTCAATAATTATATAGAATCCTTGAATATACCAGCTAGCCCATCAAGTTCAAGATAACAAGGTTAGACTGTATATCAATTAGATATTAATGGACCACAACTGTTTGATCTGACACTAATTTGTCTGAACTCCTGTCTGTCCATAATGAGTATATGTCAGAACTTTATCATTTTATCTGTCTGTCATGAGCTTTTAACTCTCAGATTATCTCTAACTGGGTGGTTGTCAGTTCTTATAATTATTTCCATAGGACAGTCACTTACATGTAGGGGCCCCTAAAACAAATAGTCACGTCAAGCTCCATGTAGCCAGGCCATTTTCTTTCAATTCCTATAATACTGAGGAGTGACAAACTTTAAGCTGATCACTATAGTTATACTATATATCTAAAGTTATACAGTTAAACTCCATTATAAAGAACTCACTTAAAAGGAAATGGTTATAATGATCGAACTATTCACAAATCTGGCATAAAATTTTTCACTATACGAGTCTTTATAATACACAGATCGATTTATAAACTAAGAATCTTAGAAGGAATTAAGCCAAATCTGAGGTTATACCAATGACTTCTTTATAACCAAGTTATACTGTACTTAGTATTAAATAATCTATTTTAATTAAAGGCAGTATTTTTTCCCTTGATGATTCATTGAACATGAATTTGCACCACAATGTTTAAAATTATTCCTTAATTTTGTTTTAATATGGAAATGTCTAAAAATGTAAAACTTTAAATACATTTTCTCTCTTTGTGCCTTATTATATTGAGATTAGAATAAGACTTTGGGTGACAGTTCTGGACTCTGTAAATGGAAAACAGCATTGTGTTTAATTAACATGTACATGTAGTTTAATGAAGAAAATTTGAGTCATGCAATTCATGATGCACCCAAATGTTACATGCAAGTTTTTTTTTCAGTTAAATTGAGAATCTTGAATCTGATATTAATAAACTACAGTAAAAGAAATATCAATATGCTGCATCTTATGAGCTCCAATTTTGTTTAATGCAGAGATTTTTTTTAACAAATAATTTTGTACTGATCGATCAATACAGAAAAATATTTCATCTGTGCATGTCTAATTGACATAATGTTTGAGCAGACTGGGGAGAAAATGAAACATTTCTGTGTACTTAGATGAAGCATTTCCATGGAAATCATTTATTATATCACAATAAATCTGCATGTTTCTGGCCATGAATTGGACAGTATAAAGGAACTTCAGTCCATCAATGCCTATCAATCAAAGTTAGTCTGTTTCATATCTGCCAGGGTCTAAGAGAGTGTTTGTCTCAAGAGGGCTAAAGTTACTGTTTTTTGACAGCATTCAAACACTTGAATGAGACAGATTTATGGCAAATTGCTTCTGATGATTATCTTGTAGTTTGAATATATTGATTAAATGTAATGTTATATCATTTTGGAACACATCATCAGTTCTGCTAAAAGCTACACATCTAAAGATTTTGTTAAGGATCAATGCCATTTTCTAAATTCCAGATCAACTATTTACTTAACTTTTTTTTATAATAACAGAAAAAAAATAATAATTGTAAGCTAGGGCACATGGTCAACAAGGGTTTTCCTCAATTAGTGTAAAGATTAAATGCAATTACAGATGTAAAGAATTTTAAGTACATAAAAGTTTTAACCACATTCTACAATATTCAATTATATGAAAACAAAATCCATGTACTGTACTATGTGCTCCAGTAAGTATCAAGCTATATGGCACTGTGAAAATTGAAAAGGAGCTAGGGGAAATTGTTATTTGTTCCATGACTTGCATAAATTAAGTTTATATATCTTAAAGCTGCATGCACACATTAATTCATGAAAAGGAAGAGAGTTATCTTTATCCTCCATATATCTCTCCTCTAGATTGTACTTCTCCAGCCCCCGTATAAGCTTTATTGGGATGATGAATTTTATTTAATATCTATACAAATGTATATAAGGGAGTGCATTTGTTTGGGAATGTTTGTTATGGTGTGTAAATTAAAACTATAGGCAAAAGAATCTACAAATTTATGTGAATTTCCAACAGCATTAGAATAAAAGTAAATGTTCTAATTATAGTTTTAGTTAAAATAATGTAATGGGCCAAATTCAAACAAACTTGCCACAAAGCATCTTTGGATGAAAGGAATTCAAGTTTGTTCAAATGAAGGGCCACATCCTCTTTCCATGGGAGATGATTTAGAATAAGTGAAAATTTTATGGCATATGCAGCACAATGAACATCAAAGTTTTACATACTAGGAATATATTGGAAAAATTAATCTTTAAAAATCTTTTCAAGAACAACAAAGTCATAATTAATCTTATTTATATGGAAGCAACCTCAAGTAGTGTAGATTCATGTTCAAATCCTGACTCCCAGGGGTACTCAGGGTAGTGCAATAAATGTTCATTGTGTTACATAGAATTAATATATATAGAAAAAGATTTTAATTACATGTATTATATCTTTTTCATGCCTCTCTGTGGGCCCTTTATTGGAAATAAACTGTCTGGTTTTTTATTTTCTACTTTTAAACGTCCATCTGTTGTAGAGATGTACTCTGTTTTTGTTTCAAATGATTCACCTTGTGTCTGCATGTAGTATTTTCCAACTTAAATTTAATCTCTTGAAAACAAATTATACCTTTTGAGGCATTTCAGTTTTCTTTCAGGCCAAAATATTTCCGCAGTGAGCTAGGATATAAGGTTTGTTTGAAAATATATATCAGAGTTATGACTACTGGTGTTCGCCACTTTTCCTGTTGTAAATAGTAAAGAGAACAAAAAACCAAAAGTCTAATGATTGTTTTTTTAATTCCAGAAAAAATGTAAATATGAACCAAATCGTAATTTAAAGCTGTTGAATTGAAAATTGAATAGATTGTTGTGCATCATGGTTCAGGTGCACTGCAATTAATCATTACAGCTCTATATACTGGGGTAATTAAAATAAGACATCTACAGTATATAAAATAGTAACACAAAATGGAGTTCTTCATTCTTTAATAATATTCCCTGGCTCTAAGTACGAGTTAATTTTAATAAGATTGACTTTTATTTTCCAGACAGGAAGTTTGTGATTGCCAATGCCCAGATTGAGACTTATCCCATCATCTTCTGTAATGATGGATTCTGTGAACTCACGGGTTATTCCCGAGCAGAGGTCATGCAGAAATCTTGCTTGTGCGAGTTTCTACATGGACCCACAACAAGCACATACTCGATACTACAGATGAAGGATGCCCTACGTGGGACAGAAGAAAAGCAGGTGGAAGTTATGTACACCCGCAAGGATGGTAAGAGTATTCTACCTTAAAATGAAGCTCATATATATTTCCTCAGGTGTAAACTTGCAGTGTATTAATTTTTATGTCGAGGATATTTAAGATGGGATATTGAGATATTTGATCTTTGACACTTCATCTGTCATCCTCTCCTTAGTGAGCATGTGCATCACTGTAACCTAAAAATAAGTCATTACTATTCAAAACATACATATAATTGGATAAAGTCATATAATATATAAAAGTTAAAAGCAAGGATCATTGTACAAAGGATGAGGTACAAAAAATGTCAAATTTGGCCCCTCATCTGTTGTAAAAGTGAAAGACTCTGAATAGATAGTTTCTAATTATGAACCTGAAATATGACACCGAGATGAAAACCAGCATTGCTTTAGATAACTATAGCATTATGAAGAGCCAGTCTCAAGAAGGTGTACAATTTTCCAAATTGTCCAAATTAAAACCCTCATTTCTGATAAATTTTCCTAAAAATGTAAATATAGTTTTCTTAACTCTAAAATGAGCATCTTAACTATTATTAAAAATTTGCAACTGAGTGCTGAACTAAATACTGCATTTAGTAACTATACTCAGACATGCACACTTTTCTCAGTGTACAGATTGATTAGATCATAGAAGGTCTATGATTAGATATTGGAATTTACACCAACTCCATAGTTCCTGGACGTAAGAAATCCAAGACATGTTTCTTTGTCATGAAAATCATTGATTGTTTCTTTGAACTTAAATATTTTCCTGTCCCGTCACTAAGGAGATAATCATATAATGGACTGCTTGACACATCTGGACATCACTTGACATATAGAGATATTCACTGTACACGGTCCCAGGAGTAAATTGAATATTGTGTTAAGTATTACGTGTCTGAATTCTTATGGTCATTTTCACCTCTCTCTGTCGCATTCAATAGAGCAGACTGACTGTGCAGCTCCAAGATAGAAAACTATTTCCAATATTTAGTCAACAGAGTTTTGGCTACAAATAAATTCAATAACATAGAATTCATCTTCTTCACAATGTCAATAGTTTTGTCAGTGTGATTTCACTGTATCAAGAATATGTGATTATATACCTCCACATATGAGTGGAGATATGCCGTTCCTCCACATCAATTCCTCCACAATAGTGGAAGTGTGCAGTACTGCCACATACAGTGTAAGAGTGGAATTAAATAAGTCAACCACAAAACCTTGACATTCCTGAGATGAAAAATTCTCTGTATGTGTCTGCAGAAACTTTAATCTTGGTCATAATTCTTAAACGGTTGGGATTACATTTTACATGTGTATTCCTTTTGACAAGACCTAGTTTTGCGGTACCAACATTTTCTCATGACCTTGGAGTTTGACCTACCTTTGAAAGACTTTAACCTTGCATGGATATAATTTCTGAATGACTGGAAAGGGCTTTTACTTTTCACATGCATGTGTTTTCCTTTTGACAAGACCTTTATATGGGTAGTGACACATTTGACATTTTGACCTTGGAATTTGGCCTACTTTAGAAAAAATTTAACCTTGGCCATGTGCTGTCATAGTGGGGGCATAGGTGTTTCACAAATACATCTTGTTCATTTATATGTAGTTCTCTTGGACGAGACTCAATATTAAAGTTGAACTCGTCAGACAGTACATCAGACAAGCTGTCACCCATTACCAGTACCAAGATTCCAAACACATAGATTTCCAATGTCAGTCAGACAAAAGATCAACTTCAGTTGAATTGAAGACCGTCTGACATTTAATGCTTTCTTTATCATCTTTCTGACAGGGAATTCTCTGGCTTAGTGTCATAAAGCAGTGTATAAATACCCTAGTGACATGACATTTATGTAGAGATGTTCACAGTTTTTGGAGAAAAAGGTGGATTAGTTCATAAGATACAGAGGCAGTTAAGAGGGACTGGGGAACTAGTTCTTTATAGTTGTTTGTTTGATTTAAAATAGAAGATAGAAATCAAGATAGTGTGATCAAAGAAGAAAAGGGCAATATTGAGTTATAGAAAAGTCAAAAGTCAAGGTCTCATTAACTGGACTTGTACATACAGATGTAATTAAAATACATCTGCTAGATTGAGACATATTATTGATGAAAAGTGTTTGATAATTAAGATTAAAATTAAGTTCTGGTTTAAGATTAATTACATGTTCCTTAGAAAAAAATTGCACTGTTGGTTTATTTAAACAATAATAACAATTGAAAACAAAAATCGCTATGTAATCTGCTTAGATCAAATCTTTGATATATACATAAAACAGTGCAATTACATGTTGTATATATGTCCGGCACTCCATGACAAAATGATCTTTCTTCTGAAGTCTTTTATAGGCATTGGGAAAAAAGCAGTAGTATAAATTATGAATTTTAGTAATATTGTGTCAATTCTAGGGATCGAGATTTGCTGTCTGCTATCAAAAAGAAAGATGCTATAATATACGTGATTGAATTTATGAGAATAATTATGATCATGCATATAGCTATAAATGCCATTATGAATGACAATATCTACAGCCTTTGGATGAGGAAAAATAAGGTTCAAATTGACAACTTAAGAAATAATTTTTTTTTATTTCAAAAAATAAAATTTTATGACAAAATGTTTAGCTGATCCTCAGAAAATGAATCATTGCCATCAATCAGTTGATGGTGATAAGAAATGAAGCTAGCAATCAATTTCTTAGTACCGTTTATGAGGAAAACCGTAAATTTCCCGCTGATCAGCTGATAGTTTCCCCGAGATTGACAATTTAGTTGAGGAGATAGTTTAATCTGTGTACATCAAAAAGTTGTTGCACTTTTAATTTGCTGGCTCTATCAATCAATATGGCATTAAAATCGGAGCTGATAATGCATCTGATTTTTTCGTTGTCTTAATGTTTCAGCTGATCTGATGAACATAATGTTTTTGCTGTCAATCACTCAGAATTTAGGTGTTGGCTTTGTGGGATCAATATTATACATTTTTTATGATGTCTTAAGAATAAGCTTTTATTTCGTAACTTTTTTATGCCCTGGGCCACCATGAATGTGGCTGGGGCAGTAATGTTTGTCAAGTCCGTCTACTGTCCTTCCATCCTTTGTCCTTCTGTCACATTTTGTTCAAACTTCCGCGGGTTTAAATCCCACTGTGGGACGTAGAGATTGGTCCTTCGGATGAGACCGTATAAACCGAGGTCCCGTGTCGCAGTAGGTGCTGGCATGAAAAAGATTCCACACTGCTCAATGGCCGTAAGTGTCGAGTATAGGACAAAATTTGCAGCTCTCCACTGGCAAGTGGTGGCGTCTCCATATGAGTGAAAAATTCTCGAGAGGGACATTAAACAACATACAAACAAAAAAAAAAAAAAAATTACCGTCCGGATAAACAAGTCATTTTTTTTATGAACTATTATGTTTTGTAGTTGAAATCGACAGTCCAGATGCGGAACGCAAATTTCCGGATTAATGAGACAAAATATCGTGGAAAACATAGGTTCCCCAAAAATATTGTCCGGATGGTGAAGCGTCCGGATAAATGGCGTCAGGACTATAAACATGGCGCCACTGTATATTAAAATACCTACATATATACAAACACTTGTATGAAGAGTTGATATTTCATACTTTAGTTAATACTGTTTAATGCTTTAATCACTTTTCTTCTTTTCTGTAGGTAGCCTGTTCCTATGCAGTGTTCTCATCGCCCCTGTCAAAAACGAGCAGGGAGAAATCATTATGTTCATCATTAACTACGAAGACATAACAGATGCTCCCCTGAAGAATGAAATCGCCAAAAATTTCAAAAACAGCAACATGAGTAAGTAAGACATGGAATGACATAGGAATAACATTTAATCAACCTTTGCATTCATGAACACATTCTCTTATTCTATTAAAACCTGATCGAGTTGGGAGAAACATGAAGTCATAGACATTTTTGGACGAATCTATGGGACTCATTACAAATAAGAGTTGTCGAAAATGTATGCTTTGAAAATGATGAACATGATTGATGATCAATTGTTTATTGTCATAACATCTGGGGAGGGGATCAATTCTTCAGAAAGTTATTTTCAGCTCACCTGAGCTCACCTGAGACAATATTAAATATAGCTCAGAGAGAACACAGAATTTCTTTGCCACAAGTTGGAAAGCACACAGTGTGGTGTTTGATATGCCATGTGTACAGTGTAACATATTTGAAATATTGAAATACACAACGGGGCAAACTGTGTTGCACTTGCAGCATCCACTGTCACTGTGGCCCTTTTCACAGAAAGTTTGACAACTAATTAAGATAAAGATTTACCCATTCTCCAACAGGTATGTAAGATGTAGTAGGTCACAAAAAATCATATTTTTCTAACTTCCAGATTTCGATGGGGGGCCTGCTCCCCCCCCCCCCCCCCCCCCCCCCCCCCCATTTTGTGACCAAAATTATACATAAGATTAATAAATCAATTTTTTGGCATGGGACATTGCATTAATTACATGTAAAATATAGATAAAATAAGTCAAAAAACTGTTTTAAAAAACTCTTAAAACCTGAGAGCTTCTGGCCTGAGGCTTTAATTGCATGACCTACATTAGAAAAACATTGTTTGGTTTTAGTTAAATACTGTAAATTACTTTTTAATCATGAGAACTTTATTTTCCCAAAATTACATGAGACTGTCTGTCTGCAGAGACATGTATATCATTTTCGCATGTATTTATTGAAGATTATATAATTACAGACCTGTTTACTCTAACGATTTTGCTGTATTTTGTCCGGATTTTGAGTTCAAAATATGTCTCACGTTTTGGCATTATGAAAATACGGAAATCGGAAATCCGTTCGTTTGGATTTTAGCAGTTAGTTTTCGTTATGATCTGTCTCAGTTTGACGCTTATCGCTAAAAAAGAGAAATATTTCAAACACTTCAGTGATGTCGGGTTGCCAAAACACAGTGGTTTAAAAGAAATGACAGAAATGATAATCAGAAAATGTAGTCGTTCTCTAGTAATGTATGTAAATTTGGTGGAAAGTGAAATCTTACTGGCAAATGCCAAATCTCACGGACAAATCTAATAAAAAATACTGAGAGACAACAATATGGGTAAACAGGTCTGTAATTATATATCATAATTTATTAAAACCAATTTGAAATTATAACTATCTCGTCAGTCAGTCAAATTTTGTAATCTAGTGTAAGATTTTAAAGGAAAAATTAAATAACTAGCATGTTTAATCTGTATGATTGTTAGCCATTTATGTATATAGGCAATCTACTTTAAATATTTTAATATCATAATTTTGTAGTGAAGAGGAAATATGGATCGATTGGTATTAAAACTATCTAGGAATGCTCAAAGAATTTTTATTTGAACCCTGATTTTAGATTAAAATTTGTCAGTATTTAAATATATAGACAATGTAGCACTTAAGAAATTTCTAACACTCTGGTTTGGAACAGATCATAACCCAATCAGTCTGCTATGGTGTGTTACAGTTAGCACATCCTTTAATAATTAGTATAATAATAGACTTGTGAGGTGAGAAAGTGGAAATATTTGACTTTTTGACACATGTGAGTGTTATAGCCTATGGGCCTCCTATGATCTGGAAATCATCCATGTCTTCTTTGTAAAAGTTAATTTAAAAAAAGTAATAGGATGATCGAGTCCTGTTGTTATGTACTTGGCAGAGCACAGTGCACTTCACAAGAATTTTCATGCATATCCTGCTGTTCTTTTCAACATTAAAATTTGTTCAAACCATTGTGACTTTCTGTAAGACAAACCTGAGGTTACAGTTTTTATGCATTTAACATGTTTATCGCAGTCTACCAGTCTCCTATGTTGATAATAGCTCTAAGGAAGTCTGTTATGATTTGAAAATATTTTTTGTTGTTGTTTGATTAATTAATTGAATATATATTTTGAAAATTATGGAGTTACTGATTAAAGATTATAGGATTTTATGGTAGTTCCTATAGGTGAATGTCAGTAACATAGATTCTGCAGTTACTTTAACCTTCACAAAATATATATGTTAGCTGTTAAGGTCTGCTCAGAGCCTGGGTAATCGTGGCAGAGCTTAGCATTTCTTTGTGTTTATAAAGAACTACAGCTGTTTTTAAACACATCCTGATTCTATGTCGGAGAAAAAAAAAATCTACACAGAAAGCTGTGAATATTAAACGGAATCCCCTGCATGATTACACACTCCGCATGTTTATATATATATTGACGGCAGCCAGGAAGTATACCCTAACACAATAAATGAAGTGTGAATATTTCAGCGGGAGTCGTAGAACAGGTGCTTTATTATACTGTCTGAGGAAGCGCTGGTACTAAATCTCCTGGTCTGGCGATGTGTCAAACTTTGGACAGATACTAATGTTATGTTTGAGATTTCATTTTGTTTTTTCACTCCCTCCCACAGACAAGGTTGCATTGAGTTTTCTTCTGTCCCTCTGTTAAAATTCCATGCATTTCAAAAAAATGGAAAGTTTTGTCACTGTGAACTTCAGAAATTAAATGCTTTTATTCAGTGTAGATAATATGCAGAAAAGCATAATGATACATTATAATTTTGCTTGCTAGTTGATGGAAGACAACTGCAGGACTCGCTGAGTCTCCCAGCAATGGGGAGTTGACTTAATTTATAATGTTTTAATGCTGCATTTTCTTTTGCAAACAACTTTATTTATCTATCGCTTCAATACCCAGTGTTTATAGGTATGTTATAACCATCAACTGGATTGATTTATGACATTGGTTAAAGGTCATTTCATCAAGGTCATGTACAGTCATGAGATAATATATTGAATCATCACATATGTTGTGTTGAAGTTTAAATATTGCTTTATCCCTTACTGAAGTTGAAATCTAATTTGCTAAATCTATTGTTCCTATATAATGACCTAAAAAAGGGCATGTCTTGATCCAGACTCCTTGCATTGTCTTTTAAAAACTCGATCTTTGGGAGAGGGGGGAAGGGTGCAATTTTGGAAACATCCCAGCACAAATGCATTTCTTTATGTATTGTGAGGATTAAACCTCAAATTTTGGTTCCCTTGAATTAAGTTTCAATTTTGTATCAGGGTGATTGAAAATAAAGAATGTGTTTGAAGAGTTTTCAATCCCCATGCCCCCTTTATAGCCTAGAAAACATATCTAGTTTACAAATCTCAGAATGATTACTATTTCAAGCAACAAAATGATACAGTTGAACTTCCGTATCTCGAAAACAAATATCTCAAATACCATGGATATGTCAAAGTGATTGTCCTTACCACATTTTACCCTCGATATCTCGAACCATTGAGATATATCGAAGTTTTTTCTCAGTCCCATTGAGTTCGAGATAACAAGGTTTGACTGTATAAACATTTTTAGACAAATTGAACTTTAATTCCTTGCATAAAAAAACCTCAATGTTAATACAAGTTCCATTGCTGTTCACAATGAATTGAGACTTAGATCAGCTTGTTTTATATCGGCTTTAATATCTCCAAATTAACTCCTTTATATTGAAATATGTCCCAATACTTGATATCGCGATTACTTAACTTAATGGAACTCTTTCACGGTGAAGGTAGGAAACGTCTTTTAGCTGGGAGCAATGTGCTGTTGCATACAACACGAGATCAAGCATTGTGGATTTTTAAAGGACAGATGAGAAAGAAGTCCTGGTGAAATATCTTGCAGAACATTCGCTGAACCACGCTAATAAATTTCATGAGAACCTAGTCCAAATGTGCTTCATTTTTATTTTTCACTAAGCCGACTTTTCTAATTAAATCATCCATTTCTTTCTGATTAATAGTTACTTTTGGAAGCTGATAAAATAAAACTCTAAACATTCCAATTAGACAACCTACTATTTGAAGTTCAACCCTTTGCAGTACATTGTACTTTCGGCATACTAATGGTTCGAATCATTCTATTGTCACTAGCGTAAGTACTTCATGCCCCAAAAATCTCGTGAGATTTAGAGTTTCCTCGACTTCGCCGCAAAAGAGTGGCATTAAGTTAGATAACTGTGAGGTAATTGCAATACTAAGTATTGGTTTATATCAGAGATACCAAAAGTGTGACTACATGTACTCCCCACCCCTTCCCATTTAATATATGTCTAGATTTTAGATGATGCCTGAGTCTGCCCATTCAATATTGCCTCTGGCATTTATGATACATCAGGAAACATAATCATGTATATTAGACACACTAATGATATTTTATTATCATCATCACTCTGTCATAAAAAAAGCGTTATTACTACTTGATGTCAAGCTCGTTTTCTTTGCCTCAAAATTCAGAAGATTTTATAGGAAATTAATAAAGTCTGTATTATGATTAATATCACGAATACAGGAAATATATTTTTTTTTATATATGGGCTTCGCAGTGTTTTGTTCAGCCTGGGTGCTCGTGTAGCAATTAAGTGATCAGTCTGTCCGACTGTGCTTGTCCATAGATGGCGTTTCATTTTTCTTTCTTTCGATTGACTGACAATCCACTGTAGGGACATTAATGGATTTTTTTTTTTATTAATTACTGGGAGAACCTGTAATTAACTTTTATTAATTGAGATGTCATAATATACAGTTATTGACTGGGTATGAGGGCAGCATATGATTTGTTGGACCTGAAGGTGAAAATGTTGCCCGAGGCCGCAGGCCAAGGGCAACATTTTCACCTTCAGATCCAACAAATCATATGTTGCCCAAATCCCAGTCTATAACTGTTTTGTTATACCCTTCACTTAGATAGAACACTAAAATTAAAACCTTTAAATAGATTTACTCATATGTTTAACAAATTCTTGGTAAGTTATATTTTGGCTTTTTAAATAAAAATGACAACAAAGAATGAAAAAAAAAAATCATTAAATTATTTTAACACAGAAATTATTTATCAGAAAGCATTATTTTTCCCATGACGCCAACTTTCAAATATCTTGAAACTTCGGCTATTTCCGTGTTGCCGATATTGAACGACGACTAATTACTTGTGACGTAGCAGTGACGTTGCAGTCTAACAATTCTTATGTTGGACTGACAGACCGGTCAACAATGACATTGTTAGACCGATGAAAAAACATTTACTTTTTTTGGACTTTTTATTTGTAATAAATATAAAGAAAGATATTTATAAGGGTATAACAATGTTATTTATAGTTTGATAGGCGCTTTAAGATTGAGACTAAATTCTTCACCTGAAATTGTTATGGAAAAATAGTGATTTAGCCGCGAGTCAGGTTTAAGTAAACTAAAAAAATGTTTTAGGTCGATTGATCTTAAAATATTTTTTTAAATGTTTAGACAAAATATTCAATTTAACATATTTGCAGAAGTGATAAATGATATATCATACAAATTGAAGTCAATTAATAAATAAAATTCTAAATCAGAGATTAGATATCATTTATATACATGTATTCCCCATAAATCTGTAGGGTTCTTTGACTTGTAAATTTGGGATTTAAAATAATCAAATATCATCTTTTCATATAATAAGATAGATTATAGAGGAGTCAGAAATCAGAAAAAAAGACAGCTACATTTCCAATATTTCACAAAGATCTGTGTTTGTTTCAGGAACGATAATGATATGGGCATTAACACACGGAGAGCTGAAATCATGAAAGAATTAAGAAATCAATTGTATAGTTGGCAAAAGTACAAATTGTTTAACCCTTTGTGGATCACAGTGATGAGAAAGAGGCAAGGTGTTTGATATAATAGGCTGTTTATACTAATTAAACTCAACCTTGCCTTGCTTAAAGTGTCAATTCAATTAAAAGCTCATGATACCAAGAATTTCTGCCTTAAATATATTTTATGTTCCTTTCAGAGATCAATGACTTGGGGCAGGCAATGTGTTTGTTCTGTTTGTTTATCTGCTGTACATGTATGTCTCTTTGTTTTAGAATTAACTCTTAGATAATACCTTAAGTTTATGAAATATTAATCCAAAATCATATATTGTAAAGTTGATGCTCAAGGTCATTTTCAGCATCCTGTCAGGTCAAAGTGATAAGGTCAAAGTCAAAAATCAAAAAAGGACATTTTCACCATCAAAGATCACGATAAAATATTTCACATAAACTCATCTTGTTACGATAATAACTCTAATTCCAATTTTGAGTTTTATTTTACTATGTTTTAATGTACATGTTTTGTGATTCTTTCATTGACAGGTCGACATCGAAGTTTTAAGCTCCGCCTCCCCTCAATTCGCCGGGACATCAATTGTAAAACTAAGTGCATCAGTCTACGGTCCCAGGACCCGGAGGATCCAGACCGTGATGATTCACCCACCCAACTCCCTGTTCCCCGGGGCTCTCTTCCTCCAAACTCCCCTCCCGCACATATCCGGAATGTTGAGAGGGAGATCCAGGATAAGACTGGGATCCCCAGGCGGGCGTCGTCAATGGAGACACTAGATAAACAAGGAGTTCCCAAGGCAGACTCCCACAATTCAATGGGTAGGTTTCCCAGGATTCCTTGTAATAATTTCAGTGATATAAACATTTTAGGTTTGTCATTATTTCATCGGAAAGATATATATCACACTGTCTCGCATTTGATGTCATCAAGAACAGTCTGCACATTGTATATATATGTTTTTCAAAAAACATCTAAAAATATTTTTCTGTGCAAGGGAGAGTGTCCCTTGATTAAGCTGTCCTGTTGTACATATACAGATATTAGGTTCTTGTATTGTACAGATCCCATTTAGATGTATGGTAAAACATATTGTGAAGATCAGTAACATTTTAGTTATTTTTGTAGACGTCAGTATGCAAGATGCCTTGATTTTTATTTTGTATATGTAGATGTCCAGCTGAGAACATGCAGCACGGTAGTGGGAGTTGATGTGTATATATAGTGCTCCAGTTATTGAATGTTGTAGCCTGTGGTAGAAAAAATGTGTAACAGTGGCTGTTGTTTCAAAATATTCAAGATTTTAATTTTTTTTTCTCACATATACATGTACATACTTTTGGGGTGATGTGGGAGGGGGTGGGGGTGGGGAGTTAATAGATCATACGTTTTATCCCACTAGCATCACAACACTTTTGGGATGATGTGGGAGGGGGTGGGGGTGGGGAGTTAATAGATCATATGTTTTATCCCACTAGCATCACAACACTTTTGGGGTGATGTGGGAGGGGATGGGGGTGGGGAGTTAATAGATCATATGTTTTATCCCACTAGCATCGCAACACTTTTGGGGTGATGTGGGAGGGGGTAGGGGTGGGAAGTTAATAGATCATATTTTTTATCCCACTTGCATCGAAACATGCACAAAGTGAAATCAAATTTGAAATTAATTCAGAAGAATTGAAATGGTTTCAGTTTTTAACTAAAAACTGCCTGGGGCTGTAATTATAGACTGAGCATTTATGTACTTGATTATGGTATATAGTGTTAATGATCTCTGAGTCAACAACTGTTTTACTTAGAAACAACAACTACGCATGGGATTCTGCTTGTTTGAAATTTTCTATTTTTTCTTTCGCAGCTAATTTTAAACATTTGTGTAGGCTGCTTTGGTGGAATAAAAATTAGCTGACATTTTAAAACTAACAAATGCTTCAATCCTTTCTTCAAGTGTAAAAGAGTCTTCAGGTTTTTTTTTCTTCCCCTTTTCATGCTAGAAGAAAAAGCAATGTTCATGCAGACAAAAAAAGAAATTCATCCTGGAGGCATATATGATGGAAATTATAAAAACTAAGGATTCCTATTCTTCAAGATTTGACAACAAAATCATTTATAGCAGCATTTGTGTATAGGGATCAATTAGTTCTCTTGTCAATTTAGAAAAAATTTTCTTGCAGATGGGTTACGGAGAAAACATCGCCGCCAACGGGCAAATACAATAGGGTCATGTGAGTAAGGAAGGCCCGTCTGTCCCCCCGTTTGGCTTTTATTTCTATACAACCCCTCCCAATGCAGTATAACTGGAGAATTGCAGAGAAATTCATTTTATTAGGCCTCAGCATTTCCAGCATTTACATGTACAATCAATCTTCAAAGGTTACAATTTGAAAACCTACTTCTTAGTCTATTTTATCTATTGATGTTTAATGTGAACTCTTATAATAAAATAGAATTGATTAGAGTTGGCATGAATTTGATTAAAGAGAGATAACTCATGATCAACTCATGCCAAAGCTTGATGTAAACACAAGTTACCTTCCTTCTCACACTTGAAGATCAATGCATATTTTAGTAATTCTTTCAAATAATTTTCTCTCTTATATGTTATCAAGCATTAATATGCTACATAATGAAGCCTTCAATTCAAATTATACAAATATGATAGTAATAAATGACACTAATGTGACAGACATCAAAAAAAGTCTTAAAATTAAGTTATTTTTCACCAATTTTGAAATGATATTCTCTGTAATTCTCCCATCTTTATCTCTACCCCCACATACTAATACAATACATATAACCAATAGACTTAAAACCAGCTAGCTTTAAGTTACTTACATCTCCTTAACAATGTACTTACTAAAAGTCACCACTGAAGACTAAAAGTTTGTAGGTCTTTCAGCTCAGTTGAATGTTATGCAGCATTTGAATAACCTTCAAGGAATGAATTGATTGATTACTAAATAGGGTTAATTTTACACCTGATACAGTTCAAACTTGGATGTTCTTGTAAAAAAAAAAAAAAAAAAAAAACTTAACAAAAAGTATTTTTTTTAAAAAGTCTTAAATTGTTATCAGAACATTAAAATACCTCATTGAACATATTTTATTGTTGCTAGGTTTGAGTGTATACATATAACCTTTAATTATGAATAGAGGGTCAGATTTTCTTTGCTTTTTGTGTACATTTTTAATTTGAAACTGAAAAGTACAAACATGAGAAAATCGATACAGGTATAGTATCACTGTTAAACATTTATAGCCTCAAATTGCATGAAAAAAAAGAAGGGATAAAAAAAAATCCCCGTCCAGGTCGTTCAAAAGCAATTGTTTTATTCATTAAAAAAAAATCATAAGGTAAAACAATCTTTGAAAAAATTCTAAATTAGTTTTAAAAAAATGGATTATTTAAGATTATTATTTTCTGTATAGCTCTAAAATCATTGAATACATGAAGTGACTGATGACTGCGTGGCAGATGTTTTTATAGAATCCCAGAGTTATGGGGACTGCATGAAGAGAATAATTTGTTTCAATCCTAAAATTCATACTGGAGTTTCTTTTTCAGGGGGGATGGGGAATCTGTTCAGAGCCAATGTGATCAACCAAGCATCCAGCGATTCGCAGCTCGCCAAACATCGCACAAAGTTCACAGACAGCATGAACGACCTGGACGGGGATTTACACACAGACAAGGAGGGGGGACCAACCAAAGACAATCGGGGACCAATCTTCCTGTCTAATGTTGCCAACATGAAGCATAACGTGTCTGAGAAAGTAGCACAGGTCAGTGTTTTGGAGATATACTAAGAGATACATGTACACCAGGGCAGATGTAGAGATCGATGTTTACTATTACAGAACAGAGCTTTAGAATCATATTGTTGATGAAATTGTGTGCTTTTATATTCGTGGTTCCCTTTTTACATCCTCTTGAGAATATCTAATCAAACGTCACAACTGAAGAACTTGCGTTAGCAGTGCATGGTTTGTGAGTGTCTAGGAATTCTCTTGGTCAATCTTTTGGTTTGTCACCCTTCTCCAGGTCTCCTCTTTGGGACAATTTCAGTAACATTTATTATGTAAGAATATTTAACATTGAATTATTTCAAGTTTTTATTATACATCACATGCAGTCTTACTACAATTTTCACACCTGGAACAATAGACATTATCTTATTGACAGGGTTCGAGGGCAACATGCGTTTTGTCAGATCCAAGAACCAAACTGTAATTGCCTGAGGCTTTTAGGCCGAAGGCAAACAGTTTGGTTTGAGGGGATAACAAAATGCATTTTGCCAAAGAACAAAGAGTTTACTTAATAGCTGATCCCACCCACAGTGTGACATAAGCAGTCCAATATCTCATTGACAGGTCCAATATCTCACTTTGTGGTCAAACATCGATTTTTTTATGACCGCTTATTAAAACATTAGAAATGTTAGACTTTTTTTAGTAAAGATTTATATAGAAACCAAATTTTTAAAGGTATAACAAAGGTTTTTTACTGACACCAAATAACTTAATACACTTCAAGACCAAGCTTCGTGGTTGGGTTACTGTATGTCATTATGTGCATAGTTATTAAAACTATCATTGTCAGTGATTAATCATGGACACAATGTCAAGCTGGGTGCATTACCGCTACATTTTCAAAATAGTCACCATACTGCTAAATACTCATTATCCCTACAAAATATTATACGTTACTGGTACATTTATAATTTATATCTTACCATGTGTTACTGTAACAATGCTTTTTCCATTAGCCAGTGCCAGGTACAGCTGTATGCATGTAAAAGTTGAAAGTCTTATTTTTTGGAAATTTGTAACCATGCATCAATTATTAAGCCTGCATCAGTGCGATTTGTAACAAATTTCTTGTTGGAAACTAGTCATTCAACTGACTCTATATAAATTATAATATAATTGTACTTTGGGCGTCTAAAGGCTGATTGAAGTAATATATAGAATATTAATTGTAATCTATATGCTTCGACTACATGGTGAGTGAAGTACATTTGAACTTTGGTATCTTGAACACTGATATCTTGAATACCATGGATATGTTGAAGTGATTTGGAAGTCCCAACCACATAATCCTTTAGTATTTTCCCCTAGACATCTCGAATCCTTGGATATCAGAGTTTTTCTCAGTCCCATAGAGTTTGAGATATCAAGGTTTGACTGTATATTGAATAGAAATCATGTTCTGTGGAATGCTTATAGTTAAAGGTTTGTCATGTAGCTGTGACGAGTTGTAAAGTCAATCTTCCTATTGATAAAATGAAGCTGTAATGCACACCTGAAATTGAGGTGAAAAGTAGCAATTATAATGAGTTGTAATTTTTTGCATTGTACCGTTAATTTGTTCCAGATCCATCAAACTCATTAAACAATGAAGACGTTGCACCTGAGGTGCCAAACAGTCATTAAAATTGTCATATAATGCTCAGGCCAACTTTAAAATAATCTTTGCCCTCTCCCGACTCGGGATGAAAAAATTGGGTCGGAAGGTAGGTGGGAAGTTTTTTTTCCAGAAAATTTCAATGTCAGTGCTCAGTTTTTGGAATCTTTTATTGCCAAACAGTCATTAAAATGTACAGAATTAGGGAAAAAAAGGAACTCTCTACTTTCCATCTGGTTGACTTGTTAATCTACTTTGGCAAAATCAAAATCAAACTCCACAGAGTTTTAATTGATTGATGATTTAGGATTTTACCTGTTGTCATTGATACTTCAGCTAGAATGATATTCTACCCAATAATACAACAAATAAAATTTTATTGATCACAATTTAATCCTTGTCTTTGATCTGAGTACTAGTACATCTAATTATAAAAGGAAACAACCAGAAATCTTAATTTACTAATGTTTCATTACAAAATTCAAATACACAGGGAAGTCATATAATGCTCAGGCCAACTTTAAAATAATCTTTGCCCTCTCCCGACTCGGGATGAAAAAATTGGGTCGGAAGGTAGGTGGGAAGTTTTTTTTCCAGAAAATTTCAATGTCAGTGCTCAGTTTTTGGAATCTTTTATTCCTGAATGAATAAAAAAGAATTATTGTTCCTGGAGGTTAAAAAAAGTTTTGAGTTAGGCCATTTTTAGGCAGTCGGTTGGGAGAGGGCAAACAAACAATTTTTAAAGATGGCCTCAGGTAGTGTGTTTTCTGTGGAATTCTTTGCTTTTTTTGAGCACTATCTGGAAACTGCTTTTCTTGAGCATGCAGTTTGAGAAATATCAGGAAACTGTTGACTGAATATTTATCTACTTCTAAAAACAAATCATCCCTAATGTCCAAAAGACTTTTTGTTTGTGACTTATACTCATGAGAAAAGATGACTCACAGTCTTCATAGATGAAGAGTTTTTGATTATGGAAAAATGAACTTAACATTAAGGGCACCCCAAAGCAGAGCATCCCCTCACAAGAGCACATTGAACCCAATATAAATTATTACTTCTGTTACACACAGATTCACTCACCCACACGCTCACCCACACACAAGCGCTTTACTATATCCCCTCCTTCGTCATTGCAAGGGAAAACAGTACTCATCATTTATTATGATTGGAAACTACTCAGTCACCTGACTTGCTGCAGACAGGTTAATATACATCTGGATGGTATTAATAAACTATCATAGGCGTTTACAAAATTGGACCAGTCAAGATTAAATATTTATAATTATTTGATTAAAATAAAAAAATACACATACACTGGAGTTGTTATGAAATTGATAGAAACAGAAAGAGTTTAATATCTCATTTGAAACATGTACTAACTTAAGTATGTTGTTAAACTCCCTCCTTCACCATTTGATTTGTTCTTTAGCTTGGCTCAGCTCCATGCAATTTATCTCTCGGTACTCATGAAAAGTTTACCGGCATATACTTGGTCAATGCAAGAGTGAGCTTTAAGAATTACAAATTTTATTTTATGAACCCTGCAGCTTCAGTCAAATTTACCATCAGCAGTTTGTGCAAGAGGGTCTGAAAATCAACTGATGTCCCATAATTTTGCAAACTGAAACATGAAATAATTGGCTTATTTGTGTCAGCTACTTTTTTTCCCCCAAATAAATCGTTAGTTATATATTTATACGATAATGATCGAAGCTCTAAAAAGGCAAATTATAGAGCCAGCCTGATATTTCTGATTAGAAAAAAATTCTCTAGAAAAATTTCAAACTCAGTATTGGCACAACCAATTAAATACTAGCTGTCACATTCCATCTTCTATGGTTAACACGAATTTAATTTTTATTTAAGTGTTTTAAAATTATCAGGTATTAACTTACAAATATTTCAGAACAGGTGCACATGCACTTTAAAAATCCTGTTTATTTTTTTCTTTTTCTTTAAAATAAGACAGCAGCACTGCATGTTTATTTTCTCTCAGTAAGAAATTTTTTTTATTTGATTTTAACAAGCAGGTGATGAGGGGTATAAAGTTTTTAAGATAATGCTCTTTTTGTGTTCGCTGCTATGTTACATGATGTGTTACGACCAAGTGCCGAGAAGTTCTTCTGAACTTCATGCTAAATGACTGCTCCAGGGATTCTTATAAGTCTGAAATTGCTTCAGAATATATATTTCAAAGTTAATTGTTTTTTCAAGAATATCTTCTCTTTTTTTTTTTCCTTTTCTTCTTTTGAGATTTGCTTGAATTCTGCATTGGGATAAATTTTCTGTGGCATGTTCTTGCGGAAATTATCAATGTTTTTTGGAAAAATGGAGAAGACAAGGATAAGTTTGATTTTATCTGACATTTTCACTGTGGATATATGTTCAATCGAGATTTCAACAGAATTCATGTCATAAGAATTTAATCAAAACTTCATTACATCATGGATATATAAATTAAGAGAGAATCAGCAATTTCCTTCATGCTATAGGATCTTGAACTTCAGTTTATCAAATGTGCATTATCGAAGTGTTAGTATTGGGAGATTAAATATCATCTTTTAAATTAAACTCTAATAGATAGAAACCCTGATGGAATTGTTTTGACAGCTTTCGCTCAGATCACAGACAGTATGTGCTAAGGATATATGGAAAAAAGGATCTGAGTATATAGTTTGAACTACAATCAGTTCATTAGAAGTCTTATTTAAATTATTTCTAGTGAATGAATGACTTAAGGAGCAGTTGCTGAATCATATTTTCTCGCTTTTTTTCTGTGAAATGTACGTTTTTAAAGATGATTTTAACCTACCTAGTCTACTTAATCACTGTGACTTACCAATGGATGATGAATCAGCTAACAAAAGTAGGAAATTTTATTTTATTGATATAATTATATGTAATACCAAATTGCTTTGATTTCTTTGTTCTTGAGTGAAATAGGATATATATTTCAAGATAAAAAGATCTCTACACGTAAATCTCCAAGGAATCTGAATATCAAAACTGGGGGATTTGATTTGGAAGTGATGTAATTTAATTATTTGATTCTTATCTGTGCATATTTGTCTATTTTCTATTCAAAAATTATTTGAGAGCTAGGGTATTTAATGGTTTAATCCCCAGAAGATTTTGGAGTTAGTTGGAATATCCATAATGATTGAGGTTTATATATATATATATATATATATATATATATATATATATATATATATATATATATATATATATATATATATATATATATATATATATATATATATATATTTTTTTTTTTTTTTTTTTTTTTTTTTTTTCTCAGAGTGAAAGACATGCATGAAAGCTTAAAATAGAACTTTGTTAAGATTATTTGATTTATGAAAGATGTAATTAATGCAAAGTTAATTGAAAGACCAATGATATCTGTGTACTGCACAAGAAAAAAAAATCTTTTTTCTTTATATCGAAAGAACTGTTGGACAATATTTGGGTGCACATGTTTAAAAGAAAAAAAAAATCAAGTAAAATGTGTTTTGCAAGTGAATTAAAGGTCAATTAAGTTCCAAATATGCATGTCAATTTCTTGAGTTTTTTGTCTATTAAGACAGACAGCCATTGACGGGACTATATATGGAAATTAACATGGAATACTTTGTGTCTTTCTGCTCTCTAATTTACATTTACATTTTTAATTCACAAATAATTATAAAAATAAGGAATCATTGTGTAGTTTGTTGGGTATGCCTTGGGCATTAATGACAGTTGAAACATATGGAATAATTTACGCATAAGGAGCTTTAATTGTTGTTATGCAAGTAATCCTCCATTTCCAACTATCAATAATATTATCCTGGCACATTCAACAAACTAGAAAGTCAGATTCCTTAGATAACCATGCCAGTAGAATCCTAGGTTATACCTTCATAACCATATGACATCACATATGACCTCTGAACTTTTTCTTTGTATCCTTATGCAGTTGCCATTACAATGGAGGGTGTACTGGCTTATGCAATTTGTTAGGAAGATAGATGGAGGCCAGAGTGGGGGGAAAGATGATAGAAAAAAATTTGTTTGATCATAATTTCTATGAAATATATATGCTTATTTTCTGCACATGATAAGTTGATTGACCTATAGGTAATTACATGATTGTATAACCTTTCATTTACCCTTTAGACGATTCTAGTCACTTATCGGTCATGACGGATACATTGTATATCACAGAAAAATCAATAACTATAACCATATGATCCTTGACAAAAGGATTTTTTGTAAATAATGCAAAAGGTATTGAACATGTTCAATGCAGAGGGTTCATAAAAAAAATTTTACAGCCGGTGCTGCTACCCTAAATTTTAGAACAATTAATATTTATCTATCAAAATTTCACATGGTCATATCTTAGCTGTCAACTACATGTAATAGTGTGCGAACAATACATGTACCTTTATCTGTAGTTTTAATCAAAAAAAGTGTATGTATAAGTAGTGATTTTATTTTTTTTGTGAGTGTATTAAAATGATATACATGTTGGAGTATGCAATCATACTCGTTTGCTCATACAATTTATCACAATCTCCTAAATATTGGTAATTCCCCTCATACTACACCAAAAATTGTTTCTAATCTTATGGATACACCTGGCCATTAAATTTTATTAAAACTTATAAAGAAAATTGCAAGAGTAATAATAGTATGTATGTGGTACATAATGACTTCAGTTGATGGAATCTATGAAAACTATCGATGCACAAAGAAAAATAAATTTGATAACACCTCTTTTGCTGTATATCTTTTAATCATACCAGGAGCTCGATACCAAAAATCAAAATCAACTGCAGCAATCAAACGAGAGTGCACTTAGTCTAGTCCGTAAGTTAAGTGACAACCCTGTCAAAAGAATGAGTGAAGCAGTGACCTATCTCAGGGGACGAAAACCAGCGGTATACACCACCATGTGTGATTGTAGATCAGTTGAAGTGGCTCTATATCTTTGGACACCACATTTTTCTTCTAGCAGTGCTAGACTATATATATATAATTATCTTATATCTTCAGAATTGGTTGCCTTAAAACTTAGGAGATTGATCTCAATTTTTTTTATGAAGATATAATCAGCATTTCAATTGCTTTCTAGTTTACTCTTCTTATATTTTTGGTATTTTATCTTGAAATATATTTTTTAAGTTAAGTTTTTTGGAGAATATGTCAACATCTTTCATCACTATGATGAGCAGCATATCACTTGCTTTGTATCTATATATAGCTCAACCTTCTTACTGTCTTGTGATTTGCTAAATTCAGACTATTTAATGAAATAACATAATTAACTTTAAATTATGTCTAAGGTAGAAATGCCATATTCATACATAATATAATTAGTTCATCTCAGTAAATGTCTTTATACTCTTAGTTGATCCTTAGTTAATCATGTTTAAAAAAAAAAAATGCAGGTTTGAAGTTTTGTTAATTGCACGTTTGTGCCAGTTCTAGATTTTCTGATTCTACTGAAAGAGTGCCTGGTATTTTTTCCCCCTAAAATCTAATGGGAATATTAAAAAAGATTAATTGTACTAGAGAATTGGTTAACATCTAGTAAATAATTATTTCTTTTTTATCATTATTAAACCATTTCAGATTCCAGTCTAAATTAACTTTTTATTTCTAAATACTTTGTTTTGTCCCCTCAATTTCTTTGTGATGCATCAATCACTGCAATTTCTAGCAGGTTAAATTTTTATAGGTATACATATACGTATTAATCAGGTAAATCAAAATTGTGATTGGTCCATCTGTGTTCTCTAATTAGTTTACATATCTGTCAATGATATTTTACCAGGTTCTCTCCCTTGGAGCGGATGTGTTACCCGAATACAAGCTTCAGTCACCTAAAATACACAAATTCACCATCCTACACTATTCCCCATTCAAGGTAAGTGAATAAAATCTATACAATTCTACTTTTCAATTAAATTAAAGACCTCAATAATTTATATGGAAATGTATTCCTTAAAATTTTCACCACTTATATTCTCTAGAGACTGTTTTTTGATTGGAGAATTCTATTTGACAAAGTATAATTCTGTTTTTGATTTGATGTGATTGAATAACCATGTTCTTTTTGTTAGGCTGTATGGGATTGGATAATCCTTCTCCTTGTCATCTACACTGCAATATTTACCCCCTATGCTGCTGCATTTGTCCTCAGTGAGGAGAAAAAGAAACCCTCGAATCAAAGCATTCAGAGCCGATACAGTGACCCCCTGACCATCATAGACCTTATAGTGGACATCATGTTCATTGTGGACATTCTGATCAACTTCCGCACAACATACGTCAACAAAAATGACGAGGTGGTCAGCGACCCAGGAAAAATCATGGTGCACTACTTCAAAGGGTGGTTTCTCATCGATGTGGTGGCAGCCATCCCATTTGATCTCCTGTTGTTTGGGTCCGAGACTGATGAGGCAAGCCTTTTATTGAAAAAAAATGGCATTTTACACATTTTCCCCTAAGATAATAGCTAGAACATTCGTATTCCTTAATTTTCCGAGCATCTTTGTAAAACCTCATAGACCCCCCCCCCTTTCAGCCTTTGAATATAAGGTCTCTTTCATGTTATTTTACCACATGAAAAATTTCACAGTAATGATATTTCTTAGTGATGCCAAGTTTCTATTTCCCATTGACTAATCAAAAAATATTATTAATTATTTTGAACTTTCTTTAGACCTAATTATAAGTCTGATATAATCAAGGTAAAATTTCTCTCATTTCAGACTACAACACTGATAGGACTCCTAAAAACAGCTCGTTTATTACGACTGGTCAGGGTGGCCCGGAAGCTTGATCGCTACTCGGAATACGGTGCTGCCGTATTGATGCTCCTCATGCTGGTCTTTGCGTTGATTGCTCATTGGTTAGCATGCATATGGTACGCGATTGGTAACATGGAGCGCCCAATGTTAGGGGACCTGAAGATTGGCTGGCTAGATGAACTTGCCCGTCAGACTCACCAGAAGTACGTAAACGGTACCGGAGGGCCCACCATCAAGTCTAAGTACGTGACGGCACTGTACTTTACGTTCAGTAGTCTGACTAGTGTGGGATTTGGGAATGTGTCACCGAACACAAACTCCGAGAAAATATTCTCCATCCTCATCATGTTGATCGGGTGTAAGTGCAGGAGTTGTATTCAAATATTAATTTTGGAATTTTTCTTATATTTACAAAGCATGAAGTATCTTTCAAAGAAGTACGATCCTTAATTAATGTAACTTGGATAAATCATTACAGAAAAACCTGTCTAATTTATTGGGTATGACAAGATTCCCCAGACATTGTGTCTGTTAAAATAATGTAATTGTGGAAACTGATGATGGGAAAACATTCACGAAATCTTTTCAAAGAGCAATTAATGTTAATACTAGTACAAAGTTTCAACTCACCATATATTTCTAAAATACTAAAAAAAAAGTTATAATGTTAAGGGAACAGATTAATGAATAAAAGGTTGCTGGTTTGGGATTTTAATTGACCTTATTTTGAAGCTCTAATGTATGCCACTATATTTGGTAATGTTTTGCCTTATTTTGCAGCTCTAATGTATGCTAGTATATTTGGTAATGTTTCCGCCATCATCCAAAGATTGTACTCCGGAACATCCAGATACCATGTCCATATGTTACGGATCAAGGAATTTATCCGGTTCCATCAGGTTCCGAATCCGCTCCGACAGAGACTGGAAGAGTATTTCCAGCATTCCTGGTCCTATACGAATGGGATAGACATGAATATGGTAATAAGACGTGAATGTGATAATTAGACATGAATATGGTAATTAGACATGAATATGGTAATTATTGTGCTAGTAAGTAACACTTTATCAGGCAGTTGTGTTTGTTTATGGAAGCCATGAAAGGCAATTTAATTTATTAAATATTTGAATGTTTTAAAAACATAGACATTTTTAAATGAGGTAGCATAAACAAATCATGAGAAGAAATTTTGTCGTAAATGTTCCCATATGTCGTAGCAGTTATGATGCACTATGTATTTAAACAGTGAAACTTTTGGATTTTGCATTAATAAACTATGAAACTTGCTAACTTCATAGACTTGTCCTACTAAAACTTAGTGAATGTGTACATGACAAATATATGCTTTTTGAGCCATATTTAAAGTTCTGAAAACATATGATCTTACTTTCCAGGTATTGAAGAGTTTTCCCGAGTGTCTTCAGGCAGATATCTGTTTACATCTAAATAAAAACCTTATCAATAACTGTCCAGCATTCAAAGGTAAGAAAAACTGGTGCAGACATTGGAACTGAATCAATACTTAAGAAATTAATGAACCAGGTCAGTTTCAAATATGAGCAAATAAAATTTAATGTGTTATACAACGTAAGTGGAGATAACTCAGTTTTCTTCATCTGATTCAGTTAAATCTGTTGAGTCTGTAATGTAATCAAGTTTGCAAAATATACAGTAAAACACCCTTATAGCGAACATGCTTATAATGAATTGAAATTTGCAGCAAAGTGAATTTCATTCTATGTGCCTTAAAAATAATATTGTGAACTTAAGGATAATATAAAAATTAAATTACGTTATAACAAAGCAAAATTGTCCATCCCTGGAACTTTGTTTTAAGTGTGTTTTACTGTATGTCTGTTTTAATACATTCATTCGGAAAATATTTAATTAGCAAAGCCTTACTGTCATTGGAACAGACGTGTTAATAGAAGCTTTCATTTCAATGTGCCAACAACATAGTGTAACATCTCGTATGAACACCCTCTAAATTCATGTGGAAAAGTTTTCCTAATTTGTGGTTATTTTACAGGGGCCAATCCAGGCCGCCTGAGAGCCTTGTCTATGAAGTTCTGTCTGTCATTTTACAGTGGCTAGTCCCGGCTGCCTGAGAGCCTTGTCTATGAAGTTTTGTCTGTTACATGTATTTTACAGGGGCCAGCCCTGGCTGCTTGAGAGCCTTGTCTATGAAGTTTAAGACGACACATGTCCCCCCAGGTGATACCCTAGTTCACCGCGGTGATGTGCTGACAGCTCTCTATTTTGTGTCCAGGGGCTCCATCGAGATCCTCAGGGACGACATTGTTGTTGCTATTTTAGGTAACACTCTTAAAAACAATCAGCTTCAGTTGATTAAATTAATTTATATTTTCATACTTGCTTTGTAACTTGGATGTTGCAGGACATGAGCATATTTAGAGAATTCAAAATTGATTGGAAATGTAATTCATGCCTGTATTATATTTTATTCAATCATGAATTATCTTCAGAAGTTTTTGAATTTATAAGTAAAACACCAATAAACAATTATAATATTTTGTTAGTGGTCAAGAATAAGCTATTGTGTACAAACCAACAAATTAGTGCATGAAAAGTGCCAAAAATAATACAAATTTAAACACTATTTTAGTAATTCATTTGCATTCAACTTGATAGTATGTTTTTAATCTGAGTTGATCAGAATATTATCTCGGTGATGAAAACCCTGTTGTTTTAGGTAAAGATGACATTTTTGGTGAGAACCTCTGTCGTTATGAGACAGTGGGTAAGTCCAGCTGTAATGTCCGAGCTCTGACCTACTGTGACCTCCACAAGATTCACCGTGACGACCTCCTAGAAATTCTGGACATGTATCCAGAGTTCACCGAACACTTTGTCAGAAATCTAGAAGTCACCTTTGACCTCCGTGATGTAAGTTTACCATTGGATTTTATTTTAATTTGTTGCCCCCTTGCAGCTGATGTAGAAATAGGCTTGTGAGTATGTACATGCAACCATGCTTGCATGTGTTGCCCCCATGACACTTAGGGGTCAAGATGTAGAGAGTACTCTTTGACCTTTCTGTTTTGTATTTATGACATAGACATTGTGACCTTGAAACTAAGCCTATTGATTGCAGGGTCAAAAAGTCAAAGGTCAAGGTCAGAGACAGTAAAAGGTGTAAACTTGACTTAGAACATAATTTGATGAGTACCACATTATATTTCAGTCTCATAGTTGTTGTAAAGATAGGTGGTGATGCCAGGGTTAAAAAGGCAACTACTTGTGTACAGGTGTAAACTAAATTATGGCTTTCATTGAAATTATACTTTTTGACCTTAATCTCATACTTGTTTTAGAAATGTAAAGTGGTAGGATGAAGAAGCCTTTTGGACACGATTTATTACAAAAGAGTATGTCACAATGTTTCAGTACATGTATCATACTTGCAGTATAATGTTAACACATGGGACTTGAGGAAGAAGCTTTATATTATTTCTAAAGTCAAAAAGGCAATTAATTTTAACACCAGATCAGTTTGATATATTAGATAATGTGCTCTTTGAATTTTGTGCAACCTGTGATGCTCTTTTTATGAATAATCTTTTTTTGAAATATCGGCACCATAAATGTGAAAAACAAATATACCTGTATATATACGGATTCAGAATTTCCACTCAGAAACCTTTTATATACATTGTTAATTTTGGACAAAACAGTTAAACCATGGTGCAGTATGTCTTCTATGGCAGGACTTGCTCAAACACTTCAAGGTTATCAAAGGTTGAAGATTTTTATACTGAGATCCAAATATCAAAGAACATGTTCAGAACTTCTGACTGGCTTCTACATATAGATATCCTCTGCATTCAACTTATCAAATTTTAAAATATTGAGGGCTTATTATGACCTCCTATTCTGTTGCAAGACTTCTATGAATTTTGTCAGTATATAAATGTGATTGCTTGTATATAAATAATCTTTTCTGGAAGGTTGAGTTGGATCAGTGGCGAGAAGAGACAGACATGGGGAGGGGGAATGCCCTGAGGAGGAGGAAAAATATACGATCCTACCACTCTGATACGGGGAGTGCAGGTGAAGAATACAACAGCTTTGATTTGATGAGAAAATCTAAATAAGTGTAAATGATTAGATGAGTTCATATAAAACATTCAGGGATGTATAAATACAGCAAGCATGCTTGTCTAGCTGTCAATCTTTCACTATCTATAGCTTTGATATGATAAGCAGTCCTATTTATGTTTGACCAAAAAAAAAAAAAAAGACTGATTTAGCCAATGGACTGCCTTTGATCATGTCAAACTCTGAACCCCTGAGAGCTATATCCAGGTGTGTGTGGAAAATTTTAAGAAGATAAGGAAACAATGAAACTTATATGATAGGTTTGATGTTCATTCAATTTTCCATTATTCTGTCACTAAGTCTTCCCATGAAACAGACTATGTGAAATTAAATCAAATATCATGCAATAGTTTGTAAGGTGGTGACTTAAAATATAACATTGTATAAGTATTCAAATATAACAAGTTTAATTTTCCTAACAGGTCAGGATGACATTTCACATGAATACAAATTCCAACCATCAAGAACAAGGCGTCTTCGTCGTGACAAACTTAGTGAAGATGGTCCAACAGTGTCCATGTCATTCGAAGATTCTTCTGATGAAGAGATCCGAGAAAGTGGGGCAGGGATCCTGGAGTTTTCTCCAGCTAAGGCGGGTATGGATGTGACACCTGCAACATTTTCTGAATTTAATAGAAAAGAGGACAAGAAGCAGACGTCGGGGTTCTCCTCCATCGCAGGTCAGTGTTTCTGTAAATCTACCTTTACAAGATTTGTGTTTTTAACTTTTGTACAGGTTTGCATATACATTTATGAAAAGATCTGAACAGGTTTGCACAAGAGACTTTTCTTCATTTTGGAAATATGGATTTGTATGCTTAAGTGAATGTGACTGGTACTTTCAATTATATCACAAAATATGCAAGCATTACCATTTACATATTATTTTCATAGGAGCGTTTGCCAATGTCAATAACCTTGTCAGTGCAGTGACAGGTCGCTGTGATGGTGGGAAGTCAAGTGACCCTGACATGACCCCTTTACTTGAGGAACATAAAGCTCAGGTAAGCAACTAATTGTAGAAATGTGACCCAGCCTGACATGACCCCTCTAGCAGAGGTTAAGTAACAGATTGTAGAAAGGTGGTCTTGACATGACCCCTCTAGTGGAGGAACATAAAGCTCAGGTGAGTAACTGATTGTGGAAAGATGAGCCTGACATGACCCCTCTAGTGGAGGAGCATAAAGCTCATGTGAGTAACTGATTGTGGAAAGATGACCCTGACATGATCTCTCTAGTGGAGGCACACAAGACTCAGGTGAGTAACTGATTGTGGAAACATAAAACTAAGATGAGTAACTGATTGTGGAAAGATGACCTTGATATGACCCCTCTAGTTAAGGAACATAAAACTCAGGTGAGTATCTGTTTGTGGAAAGGTAACCTATCTAGTTGCAGAACAAAAATAAAATTTTTTTTTTCAACAGCAATTTTAGAGAGAAATATTATTTTAAGAACATTTTCCCTGGAAAGAATATTATTCTTCATATTATGTAGAAAAAATACTTGCTAATAGCCACATTTATACAATGAAATAAAACAAATCTAATTTTTTTCAGCCAAAAAGACTATCGAGTTCCAGTGTGCCAAAGTCTACGTCATCCATGACAATTCCCGTATCGAGTCCCTCCCCCGTGTCTGATGACCTCCATCAGTCGGGGGATAATGGGACACTCATTCCACAACCGTCTTTCAGTCACTACCAGCAATCCCAGCACTCCCAGGAAATGGAGAGAAGAATGGAGGATCTTGCTAGGTAAGACTCGGGTGGGGTGGGGGGGGGGGGAGCGGGGACAGTTTGCTGAAAAGGGGACAAAACATCTAGGTGAGACAGGAAATGATCAATTAACATTTATTTTAAGGAAAATTGAAAGAAAACAAAGTAAGCAAGAGGCCCATGGGCCACATTGCTCACCTGAACATTATTTGGAAGAGAAAAAACCCCCCAGAAATCAGTTCAATATTAAAAAGTATATAAAAAAACTTTAAATATATATTAAGTGGTCTAGCTCCCCCCCCCCTTTTTTTTTTAATCAGAAAAGCTTACTTGAGCCTTCAGCTCAGGTGAGCTTAAAAGGGGGAGTTCAGAGAGAAACAGAATGTTTGAATATTAATCTTCTGTGTGTACTGAATGAAACTGACCTCTATCTAATTCTTTTATCTCTGGTATTCATTTTAATATACTCTACTGTGTCGACAACATCAATTTAAGTGACTTCAATTTTGCTTAATTTAACAGACAGCTGACGAGGTTGGAGAACAAAATGAACTCGGACATCTCCATGATTCTTCAAATTCTACAGTCCCACAATGGGGATCATGGTTACCATGGTGATGGGACCACCACCCCGCTGTCTGACAACCCACCCCCAAACTACAGTCACGTTAACAGTCCGTCAGAGTCCGAGGAAAAATTTACGCACGGTGCCATGTTCCAAAGACAAGAAAGAGTGGTAGGCTTTTCAGACTTTTATATATTGTTGGAATATAGTATTTTTTAACCATGCTTACATTAAAATTTCATTAAACTTGGTTAAAAAGAAAGTTTTTGTAAACTTTGTTCACAGTGCCATGTTCCCATGATGAGAGAGTGGTCTTTTTTTTTCCCTTCATTTCCATATTGTAGGAGTATAGTTATTTCATAGACCTGCATTTCATTGATTTTTATTTTTATTAAAAGAGAAAATTACTATAAGAAAACTTATTTATTTAAAAATCATTCCAGTACTACTTTACCTGAATTCAAATAAGCAGCATTTTAAATAACTTTAATTTTATTAGACTAAAATACTATTTTAAGATAGGTCTTAATTGATCACAATATTTTATTTTACATTGCTATTTTAATTTTGGTCAATATAGACAGAAACAGAGGAGGAATCACCATGGGAACGACGCTTGGAGGAAGTGTCCCCAGGGTCAGGTCACGAGGCTTCCATAACAACATCAGTGGAACCCCCAGAAGGAGTCACCTCCAATCAGAAAAGAGGACGCAAACAGAATCTTCCCACAGCTGAAAAATACCAAAAGGTCTACCCTCCTAGCGAGGGGAGAGCACCATTAGTGGAGGAGGAGGTTTCTCTTTTAGGACCAGAGTTATCTGCCCCTGTAGTGGAGGAAGAGTTATCTTCCCTGGCCCAGGAGAGAGCTGAACGTGACAGACTCAGTATTGTTCTTAGTGATAGTTGTGAGGATGACGTAGCAGTGTCAAGTGTTAAAGAGTCAGAGGAACAACATTTAGTCCCAGGAAAGAATCTGGGAAGTGACACTCAAGAGGGGGAGTCCATCGGCAGAAGGCCGAACACGTCTGGTGGCGATTACCTGTATTCTGACTTCTCACCTCAAACCAGAAGGAGGCTGGGGATTCCCCTTGATATAGACCCCAAGCAAACTTTTGTATAAACATTAATTCCTTCAACATTTAGTGGCCAAAAGAATACCAAGTACTTAGTCTTTTTTTTTTTTTTGTAAAGTATGTGAGAAAGATTCAGTGTAAATGGATGAACATTGGTGAATCTGCATGATGGAAAATTTGATTTCATAAACTGTTGACCATTTAGACTGTGATTGAGATGTTATTGGGAGGATGCAAATCTTGTGATAACTATGTGAGTGAGAATAAAACTTGTGTGTAGAAGTTCAATAGATTTCAATTAACATACAGTTCAAAACACAGGAATGAACAGTCACAGCCATGATAGAATCTATATACATTACCTAGATTGGTAGTTGTATCACACTGAAATTCTGTGTTTATAATTAAACATTGAGAAATTCCATTGAGCTTGAGGATGCCTTTGAGTAGAACAAAAGTAGAAATGCACAGTGTCATCAGTTTTAATTTCACTTGAGATAGAGACTTAAGTAAGTCTCAATTGTCTGAACAAAGTGCAGGATACATTGTATGTATGTATTTATATAATGGCTTTAACTTTTAATTTTTTTCTCCCAATTTTACACAGAAATGCACAAAATAATGTATTCTTACTACTTTACATCACATCTTTGATTAAAAAAAATCAGGTATCTTTGTGTTACCACAGGAGTTATAAGGGTGGGGTCACAATAGGGGTTCATAATTTGGCTTATGGTTTATGAAAAAAAATCTAAAAAATTAAAGCTACAGAACTGTAAGGTTATGCTTGTATCTTAAATGTATTGCAGATAAGTTCATAGGGCCACAAAAATTAAAATGCTTTGTACAGAAAAATCACAGAATTTGTCAAAGTGATGCCAGTTCACAATCTGTAAATGTTAGGGGTGATTAAGAAATGTGTAAGTATTACTGAAATAGCAGTGTAACTCAGGTGAGCATTGTAATTCATAGGTTTCTCGATCATACACCAGTAGGTGGAAGGGTAAACACAGTTATTTTGCTGATTTAATATAAATTGCCAAAAAAATACCACATATAGAAATGTTTAAGCTGAAAGTGTAAAGTTCTGTATGCTTATGGGAGTACATGTATCAAGTACATGTACTGAATGAAAAGTGGTTGATTTACTTTAGTGTGTGTCAATATATTGTTGAAATAAACTCATATTTAGGCTGTGATGACATAACTGCAATCATTCTACATGTAGTTGTTCAGTAACATTTTAATTTGATTTCTTTTTTTACAAAACCATTATTATAATTTCAAAGTAGTGCACATAAGTCTGGAGAGAATTGGTGACAATTTTGATGTTCCTCTCAGAAATCCGGACCCCAAGTCATTCCCCAAGAAAAAATTGTATATGATGTACTTAATATCATGTTAATTATATATATATATCTATAGTGATCATTTAGAACTTATTATTAAAAAAAGTGTTATACTGCAATCTTGTTGTGTTCTATATTTTATATTCATCATCAGTTATGATAATGCCCGGCCACTCTACATATTTATCTTGGCACTGACTGTCAACACTGTTATTTCAAAGGAATTGGATGAAATTTAGATGTGATTTATTGTAACAGTAGCTTAAATCAGTTTAACTGTATGAAACTATTCTTAATTTTGGAGGCTTTTATGATGTAACAGGAAGGGGGAATACAGTGGACCAGACCAGTATTCAAACCTGGGTCACCTAAGCTTTAGACAGATCTTCAAGCTGAGCTGTCTGGCCACCGGCAGTCAAGCCTGCCTGACTGCCATATTTCTCCCTTAAATGTCAGAGCTCTGTCACCAATGATGCCAATTAACCCAGATTCTTTTGTCCCTGGCAGAACTTTCATCTGCAAATCCATGGTTGATGTACGCCTGTCCCCTTTGAAAGTTGATTTTAATATCCAACATGTACATGTAAAGGCAAAGAGCAGTGCGTTGTCTTGTGCTGATAAAAGAATAAATTACTTGGACACTTACATGTACTTAAAGTGATGTAAATACATTCCAGTAAATACATGTATATCTCTTGTTACAGCATATATATGACTAATATAAAAATACTAGCCTATAGATGTTACACATGTAAAGCTGAACACGATTGGTAAAAGGCAGAAATCTATGTTTGTCCGCCATATTACTCTGCTTTTTCCATTAGCTGTACAGCCCCTATAAAAGCCATTCACTTGGTCTTGGTTCAGTGTAATCAGTTTTCAGCAATGTGGATGGACGTATTCTACATAGCTATTGTAAAACTCTCGGTAGCGACAAAAGCAACTGCTTCTACGACAAAAGAAAAAGTTTCCAAAGAAACATCAGTTGCACAAGTCGGTGCAGTACAAACAAACATAAATATATGTAAACTGCAATAAAATGTAAACAATTTAAAGGTAATGTAAGATAACCAACACGAACACGTGTCCATTCAGGTACCCGTGACAAGAAAGTAGTCAGGTGTAACAAATGCGAAGAATATACTCCAGTGGTGTTGATATCGAAGATAAGAAACTAATATGGCGTATGCCTTTTTACGAGTCGTGTTCAGCTTTAAATAAGACCTATGATTTTTTTTTTTAAAAATTGTTATCCACTTCAGTCAAAACCAATGCAACACGCCACGATGATATCGAACTTTGCTCTTACTCACGGCTGGACGTATTTTAAAATTTAACTTCAAATGTGATAGATGTACATGTACGAAACATCATTTTCAACACTTAAAAAAGTAAATTAATAAAATGATAAAATGATTGACCATATTGTAACACGCCGACACATTTTAATGGCACTTGACGCACGCACATTTATGATGTGAGACACTCGCTGTGCTTACATTTCAACACAAGGACTTTCATCTCTTTTTCCAGTCCTTTCAAGCTGATGGAGACGTTAATTTTGCATAGAGAAATAGTGTACGTTTTGCTAATTTGCATAGAGGCCATTTTGTTTTCAATATCGTATATTTCTTTCAATGCATTATATACCAAAAAAAAAAAAAAAAAAAAAAAAAACATAGATTAAAAAAATATGAATTCGGAATAATTTCTTCCTCTTTTGTTTCTATCTTTAAATGTCTATGCCTCGGAATGCATTTTTTTTTTTATGGAAAATGATGGAAAGTTGATGGTTTGTGGCAACGCACTTTGAATAAAAAACGCCTTTTGATTTTTTTAGGTCACCTGAGTCACTCAGATGACCTATTGCTATCCGTTTTTGTCTGTCGTCGTGCGTTAACTTTTGAACATATTCAACTTCTTCTCTAGAACCGCTCAACCAATTTCAACCAATTTTGGCATATAGCATCTTTGGGTGAAGAGGAACAAAAATTTTGAATTTCATGGTCCCTGTCCCCCTGGGGTCCCAGGGGTGGGGCTAAAACCACCAAAATTGATGCAATCTTTAAAAAATCTTCTTTACTCCTGCACATCAAGCAGTCAAACTGTTGGCATGATGATTGTAATAAGCGTTGGGCCCTCTTCCTAAATTGTGAAATTCATGGCCCCATGGTCAGGGGTTCTGGTGCTAGGGCGGGGCTATATAGATCATATAGTGAAAATGCATTACTAAGTATTTCTTTGAAAATCCTCTCCTCTTCTCCTGGGTATCATTTAAACAAAGTGCATGGTTATGACAAGCAATGATACCTTTTCCAAAATTGTGAAACACATGGCCCCTAGGTCAGGGGTCTGGTGTTAGGATGGGGTTCTATTGATTATATAGTGAAAATTGAAAATCTTCTTCTATGCTCCTGGGTATTATTTAAACAAACTAAGTGCATGGTGTTGGTGCACAAGGATGCATTTTCCAAAAATGTTAAATTCGTGGCCTCTGGGTCGGGGGTTCTGGTGTTAGGGCGGGGCTCTATTGATTATATAGTGAAAAAGCATTAATTCTTTGAAAGTTTTCTTTTCTGCTCCTGGATATTATATAAACAAACTAAGTGTATGTTTATGATAAGCATTGATGCCTTATCCAAAATTGTGAATTTCATGGCCCCTGGGTCTGGGGTTCTGGTGTTAGGGCGGGGCTCTATTGATTATATAGTGAAAATGCATTATTTCTTTGAAAATCTTCTCCTCTTCTCCTGGGTATTATTTAAACAAACTAAGTGCATGGTTATGACAAGCAATGATGCCTTTTCCAAAATTGTGAAATTCATGGCCCCTGAGTCAGGGGTCTGGTGTTAGGGTGGGGCTCTATTGATTATATAGTGAAAATTGAAAATCTTCTAGCTTCTCTGCTCCTGGGTATTATTTAAACTAACTAAGTGCATGGTAATGGTGCACAAGGATGCTTTTTCCAAAAATGTGAAATTCATGACCTCTGGGTCGGGGGTTCTGGTGTTAGAGCGGGGCTTTATTGATTATATAGTGAAAAAGCATTAATTCTTTGAAAATCTTCTTCTCTGCTCCTGGGTATTATTTAAACAAACTAAGTGCATGGTTATGACAAGCAATGATACCTTTTCCAAAATTGTGAAATTCATGGCCCCTGGGTCAGGGGTCTGGTGTTAGGATGGGGCTCTATTGATTATATAGTGAAAATTGAAAATCTTCTTCTATGCTCCTGGGTATTATTTAAACAAACTAAGTGCATGGTGTTGGTGCACAAGGATGCTTTTTCCAAAAATGTTAAATTCGTGGCCTCAGGGTCGGGGGTTCTGGTGTTAGGGCGGGGCTATATTGATTATACAGGGAAAAAGCATTAATTCTTTGAAAATCTTCTTCTCTGCTCCTAGATATTATATAAACAAACTAAGTGCATGATAATGATGCACAATGATGCTTTTTTCCAAAAATGTGAAATTCATGGCCTCTGGGTCTGGGGTTCTGGTGTTAGGGCGGGGCTCTATTGATTATATTGTGAAAATGCATTAATTCTTTGAAAATCTTCTTCTCTGCTCCTGGTTATAAAGTAAACTGTGTTGTTATGATGAACACAAGTGCTTCTTCATGAATCATGGCCTCTAAGTCAGATGTTCTAGTGTAAGGGTGGGATTCTATTGATAATACATGTATAGTGAAAATGCATTAATTCTGTTAAATAATGCTATCTGCTCCTTAGTGTTGAGCAGAAAAACAAAGTGCATAGTTATGATGAACAATTGTGCTTCTTCCACAATTTCTAAAACTTGTGGTCTCCAGGTTTTGGTGTTTCTCGGGGGGGGGGGGGGGGGAGGTATATTTATTAATAAATTGAAAATGTGTTAATTCTTTGAAAATCTTCAACTAAGTGCATAGTTATGATGATGAGGGTACCTTTACCAAATTTATGAATTTCATGACCCTGGGACATGGGGTTTAGTGTAGGGTAGGGGTGTGTTGAATCTGTAGTGAAAATGCATTATTTCTTTGAAAATCTTCTCTGCTCCTTGGCATATCGAAGGCAAACAGAATTAAAGTTTTAATAAGCAAAGATATTTTTGCCAGATTTTTGAACATCAGGACCATTTGGTCAAGTGTTCTGGTCCTAGTCAGGGCTCTATTAATTTGTATTCAACTGAGAGAAGTTATTTCCCTTTGCCATCAGCTTTTGATAATTAATCACTGTAAATAATGTATTTGAAAGTTAATAGAATAAGAGAATTATGCAAAAAATTTTATTGAGTAATACAAAAAGTACTTTCATAGTTTTAATGATCAGGTAGACTTGTAAATAATAAATAAATAAAAATGAGACAAAAATAACTTATTAAATGTTCTTCAAAGACCGAGAGAGGCCAATATGAGAGGTCACAATGTGGGGTTAAAAGTAGTACAGAGGAACTAATAGTTTGTTAATAGTCTGTTTGGTGATAGTGCTAAATGGGGGATAAATTAGAATTTAATGTATGAGTTGTTACTGAATACTAGACTAATTATTTTATTGATTCTGATCATCCTGTTTCTTTTGCTTTTGGGCAACAAAGCTTCATCTATCAGTTTATTTTATACTCTATGGATCCTCTAAATTGTTGCATTATACTCAGGTGATCGTTAAGAACCTCGGGCCTTTTGTTTTTTCAAAGGATGTTAAAATTGGGACAAAATCAACACACTTTGAACAAAATTTTCAAAGTGCGTTAAATTTTGGATAAAATCAACGTACTTTTTTTTCAAAATGCATTAAGAGTGTACATCAATATTTTTTTTTACTATGGAGACACTTAATGCACTTTGAAAAAATATGTATGAAACAAAAATTTTCTACTTAGATTTAAGTAAAAAACAGTATTATTTCATTAAATTTTCAAAAAACTGATGAATTGATCTACCATCGAGATCGAGTAGAAGACAGGTAGAAAGTCCCTCAACCCAACTCTTTCTCTTTCCTACCCAAATATATGTATTTACATAACTTGTATGATATTGATATACTTTCTCTCAATAAATCTGAGTTAACGTAAAATAGATGAAAATAATAGAGATAAGCTTTAATGAAAAAACAAACAAACACACACAAAAAACGTACACTACCATGTTAGCTAAATGCCCCTTTGGTTGTCTATTTAATATTCCTCCGAGCTGCACAACCTTTCTTCATAATGAATCCACAATGATTCCCCAGATAAATAGCATTTACAGGGTAATTAAAACATTCACGTTGACACGTCTTGTCTTTTCATGAAAGCAAATTACAGATTTAGAAGTAATCTGACTGCATAACTTTTGTTAATAAGATTTTTTTTTGAGAAAAAGTTATGTGACCGAGGTAAAAAATTCAGTAGAGTGAGTAATGTGGCCAAGATTTATTTTTCTTACTATCAAATGAATGAGTCAACCATTGTTTCATATATGTTAACAATAGATGAATATGATAGATTGATAGATGAGAGAGAGAGAGAGAGAGAGAGAGAGAGAGAGAGAGAGAGAGAGAGAGTTTGTTTTCAAGGTATGGAAAAATTATAATTGCTCCCTTTTCCCTATCATGACAAGGAACACACGGTGGGTGACCGGTCTGCAGGAGATGCTCACTCCTCCATGGCACCTGATCCCACCTCTAAATTCTGAGGTCCGTGTTTGCTCTGCTCTAAATTTGTATCGTTTCATTGGACTTTCGAGATTGAATACTGTTCGTTATCTTCATATTTCATTTGGACTTTGCACTGCTTTATACCTATGCATACAGATTCTCTTGCCTCGTTATACAGAAAAAGTAAAACATCTCTAATGTCAATTTTATTCTTTTATGACAACCCCACTTTCAAATTTGAGACAAGTTATGATAATCATGAATATTGTAGAAATTGATATTTTTAAAATTTGCCTGGTTTTCTAATAGAACCACTGTTAAATATATGTAAGTTTTAAAGAGGAAATGAGCTAACTTTGTGACGTTTTGGAAGAAAGCTACATGTAGCTATCACGGCAAATACATGTAGACCTAGTAAGTTCTATGCTCAAGAGAGCGAAATATATCCCAGGATTCCAGAAACTGAACTCTATTAGCAGTGTTAGAAATAATCAATTGATTATGATATGCAATATTTCCAAAGATGCAGAAGATATTGAGTTTTTAGCCTGATTGAAAAGGGAAATATCTCTTTTGTTCTTCATATTCTTTACTTATATGTTGTACAGCATAGTATTTTGTATGTTTAGAATTCTTAAAAAGGTAAATTTATAAGATTGTCTATATGAGTGTCGCCAGATATATAATTGCTGGTTCTAGGCACCTGATCCAACCTTTGGAAGTTTTATGCCCTGTTCACAGATTTGTATTGTTTGTAGATTTTTTTTTTAGATCGATCACCGTTCGTTATCTTTCAAGTATTAAGTGAAATTGGATTGAATAGTTACAGCATATACACTTTCATTGGCATTGTAGTCATAAATTTATTTTAAAAAATCAGGAATAGCAAAGACAAAGTCACACGTAACTTGTGTCTTTTCGTTTTTTGGCATCTAGTAAGCCAAGCAATCGACATGGGTTTTGTCTCCTTATACACTCCAAAATAGGTATCCATCCTGTCTTCCTTCTTTGGACAACATCAGGCTTCCATAAAGGTTTTCTGACAGTGAAAAAATGCTTTCAGTTTATTCTCAGCCTAGCATATACGTGAAGGGATGCGATTTACCTCAAAATAGAACATTTTTGTCCCATTGAATCAAATGCTAGTAAGAGTATTTGAAAATAAATTTGTGGCCCATATCTGGAACAAGGGAATTTAATATTATTATAGAGCAACAGTACTCATTTGCGATAAAAAATTCAGACTAATATGTTCATGGCAATGGGCAAGAATTTGATCGATATCCTTGACTATTTTCTTTTATATATCATCAGGAACTTATATATATATATATATATATATATATATATATATATATATATATATATATATATATATATATATATATATATATATATATATGACAATATAAAAATGATTGAAGGATAAAAATTTACTGTGAATTCCTTACTTCCGTCTGCATTTGCGAAAAGGAGCGCCTTGCGAATGGTAATGTAAGGTACTCTATTAACGGAGCATTTTTTTCTACAAACATAAAAATAAACAAAACTCAAAAAGACTTAACTATGAAAAACTTAAGACATTCCTGAATAAAGAAGAAGTAATATCAAGGATTTTAAATTAGTCATTTTTTCCTCATTAAATGAGCTTAATGAAAAAAAAAATCAAAGTTCAATCTTAAATGTTTGATCCAAATTTTATTTAATTTACTAAAACAAACACACACACATATACACCTCTCACACACGCAGAGAGAGAGAGAGAGAGAGAGAGAGAGAGAGAGAGAGAGAGAGAGAGAGAGAGCATGGACGATTTTAATATCTACCTGACGGATATGAACCTTCTGCCACATTTATTTGTCCTTGTGTCAGTTGAAGTAGCATACAGACCTTACATGGAAACCAAATACATAAGGTAAAGTAAAAATGTCATGAACAGGTGTTACATGTACATGTAGCAGTTGTGATTTATTTCCTATGAGTTACACACCAAGAATTAGTCATTACTAATTCAAATTAAGTATTCATTTTTTTCTTTAAAGAAAAGATATTGATCAATTTTCACTCGGTTGTGACATATGGTTTTTAATCCCTGTTATAATGCAATGTATACAATAAACTCAATTTTGGATTGGTGATTTTAAAAAAAAAGCGAAAACACAAGTTTATGTGAAGGAAAGGAGAATTTCATAGCGCATTTGTAGAAACACATATTTAATTAAATTAATGCGAAGGCGTTTATTGAAGAAATAATATTGTGATTATTCTGAATCTGAAATTTTTTTTTATACTAGGTCTTTGTGAAAGTAGTTTGAGGGAGCGAAAAAAAATGAGCAAACAAACATGGAATAAAGCGAAATGGAAATACCAACGAATGAACGACAGAGAAGGGAAACTTGAGGATTAGCAAATAATAAAATGTACAGCAAACTGTTTGAAAACAGGTAAGAACGCTATTAAAGTATGTAATAGGACAGTATATTATAAGAGTACAATCAATATGCAAATGGCGAGCAAGTACACAACATTATGAAAATAGTACTTAGTTAAAGTAAAGATTATTTTTTAATTCTGAAAATCAGAAAAGTCTCATATATTTTAATCATCCCTTTTATCTATGAAATGAGAAACGTGTATCTTGAATTTTTGCGGTGGTTACATGTAATCGTTATTAATACTTTGGCAAGCTTATAAAGGAATAAATCTTTTTTAACATTTCCGTTGACTTTTTTCTCGATGAATATCTTGGAATAAAAAAAATGATGTTTTTTAATGCTGTATATCTATTAAGAAAGACTCTGCTTTTCAAAAAAAAGAATATGCCCACCGGAGGTCGCCACAGAAAAAAAAAAAAGAAAAAAAAAAGAGTTCAAAACCGGACTTGAAACGTAATTTTTTAACCTCCGAAATAGGAGGGGTGATCAAAAAGTTCGCGAACTAATTGAATTACTTCCATACAGGAAATAAAATGAGGTTTCAGTGTTCATCCTCTCCGATTTTAATGCACATCTGCCATTGTTCTGCCCATGCGCGAATCACGTGATACAGGCGGTCACGTGACATGCTCCGCAGCGTTCTGTTCACTGAAGCTAAAAGATTTTTCCGAGTCTTATATTTCTTACCATGCAGAATATTTTCATTAACAAGAACAGTCCATATGTGAGAAATTGCCAATTCTCAGCAATAGGATGGGTGGATAAGGATATCCCTTCCCAGAAAGAGCATTGTGACCATCACAACCCAACTCCTATGTCTCCGGAGTGTCTTTAATCAAATGTGGTTAAAATATGGCCGCCTTCTTATTTTCATATCTCATATGTTTAAAGTCTAAAGTAAACGATATATATTTTAGGGATTTGATAATTATATTATTGTTAAGATATTTAACTATATTTCAAATTGTAACTTGGCGATCTTTCGTTATAAATTGCTCAGTTAAGGACACATCTTTTCCCCGGCTTGCTTTCGCTTGGTATCAGAACAAACATCATTTTTAACCATCTCCCTGCCTTCACTAAAACAATCAATCCAATAAATGATTGAACTTCTGGAAACTAAGTCGTTTGTCTTCATAAACCCTGTACAAATCATCATATTCTACTGCAAAGGAACTTCCAAGATATACGTTAAACTTTACAGCCGTTCGTTGCTCGAGTACGACTGGGTCAACCATTTTTTGTCACAAGTCACCTATATATTGACGTCATTTTCACATTGTGACGTCACAAACACGGAGCAAAACATTATATAAAATCTGCTATTTATAGAATATGGGTATGACTATATGTGTGCCAAATTTCATTCTGATCTCAATTGTGGTTTATTAAATATAGAGATAGTTCGCGAACTTTCTGATCACCCCTCGTATGGCTGAAATATTGCTGATTCTGCGCTAAACAATAACAATCAATCAACCAATCTTCTTTTAAAATCCTAATATTACATCCAAGACATAAGCATCTATCTTTTTTTCATTTATCCTGGAAGTCGGGTTGAAATAAATATTTCATAGTAAAATTATTTTTTTCCCAATTTGCATTTTGCTGATATTATGAAAGGTATCATTGTTATACGATCAATTTTAAGCACACAAGTTATTTTAAAATAGATTTTAAAGTTATATCGCGTAGTATTTTTATAACAGAAAAATAAACAGTTACGTGTAAGATGAAGGAAAAAGTAGATGATAAAAGTTACTTACACTTAAAAAAATGTATAGGTATCGCATCGTGTCCCCTTGTCTTGAAAACAGTTCATGAAACGCCACGTGTTCGATTACTCACTACATACCACATGCTCTAAAATAGAAATAGGATACCATTACATAATGTTTGCAAAATTTATAAAATAGAATGATTGTAAATAAAATGGATGACGTTAGATGTTTATAAAAAGAATGCACGCTGTCAGTAAGTGATGTGATGTTTCCAATTATATAACTCCTGTTTTTTGATATTGCTCAGTATATTTCTAAAATAGCATTTTATAATAAAATAGTCCTTAGAACACATTCAACATATGGGCAATTTGTCCAGTTTGAAGTACACAAGAATAGAGGTAGTTTTTTTAAGTGGACATTTGAAACTGTTTTACCGTATAGTTTAATTTATACATAGTACATGTACTTGTCCTACAATTGACTAGAATCTGATTCTACACACAAGTATTCTGAAGTTGATATTAAAAGGATGCTGGAGTTTCTCATTGACAGCATTTATGTAGTCTATGGAGACCAGGTCTTTCAACAAACTGTTGGAATTCCGATGGGCACTAACTGTACTTATTTATTAGATGACCTGTTCTTATATTCTTTTGAAGAATTCATTAAAAAACTACTACATGAGAAAAAGAAAACACTTACTGTGGCCTTAAACACGACATTTAGATATATCGACGATGTATTATTAATTAACAAGAGTTACTTCAATTCATATGTCCATTCGATATATCCCAGTGAACTTGAAATAAAACGCACCACATAGTCTGCCACATCTGTTTCATAATTTGAATGATTTACTGACTATAGACGATAAGGACCGACTAACAACTAAATTGTATGACAAACGAATTCAGCTTTTCCATCGTCAACTTTCCTTATTTATGTAGAAATGTCCCGCTATCACCTGCATATGGTGTTTATATCTCCCAACTCGATACTCAAGATCATGCCCCGCTTACGATCAATTTTGAAACCGAAGCAGGCTACTGACAGAAAAGTTGATATTACAGGGATTTCAACAGCCTAGTTTAAAGTCAGCATTTCTTAAAATCTAGAGTCGTTATAAATATCTTGTTAGCAAATATATCCTATCATTTGGTCGTATTTTGGCTGACTTGTTTCATGCCAATTGTTAGGCCTTTGTTTTAATGCTAAATTTGACTAGTGTTCTGAGAATGTTCGTCTACCTTATAAATACATAGGGCTCACGGTGGATGTGACCAGTTAGGAGATGCTTATTCAGTCATGGCACCTGATCCCACCTCTGGAATTTCCCCCCAGGGGTCCGCGTTTTATGCCCTCTTCACATATTTGTATTGTTTGAGGATTTTTTGAGATCGATCACTGTTCCTTACCTTCACCATTTTCATAAATAAAAGTAGATCTTAACTACACATAAACATTCATTGTTTATACTATAGGTGTACAAATGTTTTGATTTACATCGAGATGCAAATTCTGTTTGGTCGATGCGCTGATTGGTCAACGTATAATCTTAATTATAACAGCTCTATTAGGTAAAGTGAACCACTGCGTTCGGTTTCTGGGTGGGCTTCTTAAATTGCGCTTCGCTATCGGTGTTCTCTCTGGGTCGTCCAGGGTTGCATGACTGTAAAAACCAAATTATGGTGTCAGTTTATTTCAAATATTTCATTTTTCCACTTTTAAACAATTTCAAAAGTATAACTTGCGAGTTTTTAAATTCAGTCCATCTTAACTAAAGTTAACTTAAGCCTTCGAAGACAAAGATAGCAAATACTGGATGTGCCTTATAAATAATCCGCTGACAAAGGCAGTACAAAGATATAAAAATTAATAAGGCAGGGTGACTTTTAACTGATTTGCACTGAAAAAAAATACAGTAATAGAGTACCAATACATTCAAAATATGTCAATATGGAAATATATTTAATGAGTGATGTCTTCGTATAAGCGTTTTTAATTGTAAGACAGGTACATGTACTATGTATAAATTCAACTATACGGTAAAAAAAGTTTCAAATGTCCACTTAAAAAAACTACCTCTATTCTTGTCTACTTCAAACTGGACAAAATGTCCATATGTTGTACGTGTTCCAAGGACTATTTTGTCATAAAATGGTAGTTTAGAAATATGCTAAGCAATATCAAAAAATGAAGTTAACATTTGGAACATCACACCACTTTCTGACAACGTGCATTGTTTTAATAAACATCTAACGTCGTCCGTTTTATTTACACTCATTCTCTTTTATACACTTTGCAAACACTGTGTAATAATATCCTATTTCTATGTTAGAGCATGTGGTATATAGAGAGTCATCGTACACGTGGCTTTTCATGAACTGTTTTCAAGCCTAGAGGACACGATGCGATGCGATACCTATACATTTTTTTTTTTTTTACATATCTTACACGTAACTGTTTATTTTCCTGTTATGAAAATGCTATAAGATATAACTTTAAAATCAATTTTAAATTTTTTTTGTGTGCCTTAAAACTGATTGTCTAACAATAATACCTTTCATAATATTAGCAAAATGCAAATTGGAAAAAAAAATCATTTTACTATAAAATATTATTCATTTCAACCAGACTTCCAGAATAATTGAAAAAAAAAAGATATGTCTTGCATGTAGTATTATCATTTGAATAGTAGATTGATTGATTGTTATAGT